AAGAGCTCCACACTCTTGATCCTCTGTGCCACAATGTCCATCGCCTGAAGGATCTGATTGCTTGCCATCAGGTCCAATACTGGGATGAACCGTGGGCTTATAACATTTGCTAGAACTTATGAGGTGAGTTATAAGTGTTATAACATTTACAGGTCCAAGTTATAACCACTTACAATCATGTACATTATTGCTAAATTCATAAGTGGTTATGGTATACAAAAATAGTATTCAAAAGTCAAAACATGTGTATGTAAAAGTACTGATGTTTGTTTTTTATTCATACTAAGATGTATGCCAGACATACTATCCTGCATTTATATGGGTTACAACCAAACACTACCTATAGTAAAAAAATATGATTTTTTTTTAAAATATAACAACAAACTTTAGACAAAACAAAATCAGCAACTGCCAAATTGAAAACAAACATCCTGCAAATACTTTGCTGCACATTTTTTACTGAACAACCACTTATAAAGTTTACCATGTCGCCCTTGCCATGTGCACAGGAAAACTTCAAAGGTGTATGTTGTAATTTTGTTCAACATCAAAACCAAAAACATACACAACATGTATTTCAAGCCATTTAGGCTTCATGAAAAGTTGTTGGTTCATTGCTCACATAAACTGAATTGTCATATTATTGTTTTCTCTACAAACATTTGCACAGGTACTGTTATATGTCCTGCTAAACCCTTGCAGTTTTGCAAGGGTCCAAGAAAGAGATGCTATACAGCAAACTAATTATGGATCTTCTGGAACTTGTGCTTGTTCATCATGCTCACCTTGTAGGACTTTCTCTTAAAGTTATTCTTCCTCTTGAGCAACTTGAGCATCTTGGCCTTCCACTTGCAGATGTGGTATTTCTTCTCTTCCAGTGTTGTCCAAACCCTCCTCCAAAAGGTGCTTGTCCAAATTCTCTCAAAGGTCTGCAGTGTCCCTGGACAAACCCATTGCTCAATCCAAACTTGAGGCATGCTATAGACAGGGCTTTGACAGATCCAAACTTGCTGCCATAAAATGTAGACAAACCATGCCCTGATCAGTAGCCACATGGCTTGATAAAGCACATTTGCTTGAACTATGCATGGACATGACATGTGCATGGCCTACATGACAAACACATGGCAAAGTTGAAAAGCCACATGGCTTGATAAAGCTCAGTTGCTTGAGTGCAAATATCTCATATATGCATGTGACCATGCATGGCACTATGCAAAACTTGTAGGCTGCTCCTATGGTTTCCCAATGACACAGGTTTTGAAGAACATATGTGGCGCATTGAGAGCACTGGTTTTATTCCATAGCATTTGGCAGTTATCTGAAATTGAATGGGATGATGACTTTGTACATAGAGTCTTTCCAGTGCATGAAGGAAAGACTGGTTGCGATGGAGGCTGTCTCAATAAATGTTGCATCATCTTTCTTCAAGCAAAGAGCACAGCAACTACTATCATCAATCTTCACTATGTCCCACATTGAGACCATGGATAAGACAATGTTCCCAATTTGCACATGAAGCCAAACTTGACAGATCTTCAAAGGCTTTGACTTTAGAGCGCAAGCATCCCCTTTGCAACAAACTCCAGCAGGTGCCAAGTATGCTTGCAAGCAAGTGTAGGTTTCTACTTCATCTTCAATGGACAACTGTGTGTGGAGGAAGGCCAACAGTTTCTTGCTTGGCTGAGAACTCTTGACCAGCCTAGCTCTTTCACTGAACAATGTAGGATCCTTCAAGCACTCCATGTCATGGCAAATAATTTCAGAAGTGACTGAAAGCTCATATGATCTCAAGTTCTGGATGGATGATGCATATCCTGGGCTGTGGTCACAATTGAAATATACAAACATGACACTATCTAATGTGAAGAGTGTGACACAACTAAAAGCTTCATGCAAAAACATTGCCAAGCATCTCTTAATGACCTTGTGTTTTCTCTCTTGGACAAAACAAGATGGCAACATATTGTGCTTTGACAGGTGTTGTTGAAAGTGCAAGCACCAATGAAACTTGGTGTGCATGTATGGTTGCCACTCAGCCTTGATACACAAGTCAATGAAGCTTTGAATAGTTGTTCCAAGCAGAGCGGGTGTGATAATACCCAATGGCACAAGCTGAAGCATCTCCACAATGTCAGCCAATGCAAGATATGCTGTGCATTCATGCTCACACAAGCCTTTGGAAATCACAAAAGTCTGAAGGAAGTAAGCAAAAATAGGGCAAAGTCCAAGCGCCTCACTAGCTGTGCACTTGAAAGTGTTTGCTAGTTTGTTGGCTTTCTTTCTCTTGGGCTCAAACAACTTACCCAAATTGTCATTCCTTACAGCAGGCAGGTGCCATTTGGAAAGGATGTTTGCAATGACTTGGTAGACATCAGTGGCAAAAGCACCTTCCAAAGCTGACATCACCAAGTGCATGACAGTACAAAAAATGCCACTCACAAGAAAACAGTGCATCCAGTCATGCAGAAACTGGCTGATGGGCTCCAAAAGATGTTGGAGTGGTTGTGTATTCAATAAGGAATATTGATTGTATGTCATTCCCACTGCCTGTTGCCAAAGAACAAATTCCTGTGCTGACAACTCCACAGACTTCTCTTGCAGCCTCTTAGCTGTGTCAATGACATCTGCATTTGTTGCTTGCTTGATTTTGGCAAGGTTCCAGCTCTCAGCAACTAAGATGTGCTCATTGGACTCATCCACAATGTTGCTTTTCTTTGTCAGCAAATTCTGACAAAACACACAAAATTTGCTGGCTGCATCGCCTCGAAGCCCCCACACAACCTTGTGAGCTGCACCATCTTGCAGCATAATTCCCAGCTTGAACCAGAGCTTGACAGTGTTTCCTGATCCATCTTTTAGCATTAAGCCCCCAACATCAGGAGAACATGCAGGGTGATGAAATATGTAGTTCAATACCACTGCAGTGGCCTGACTCATGCCTGCTTCCATCTCCATAATTTGTGATGACCTTGCAATTAGAGCAACTAGCCATGCCTCCTCCTTGGAAAGAGCAATGGGTCCAAACTCTTTAAAGGATAGGTAGGCAGTTTGTACCTTCCTTGAAGTGTCTGCAGACAAAGGGTTGCCAGGCACTACCTCATCACAATAGTATATCAAGCTCCAGGGTGTAGAATGGGTAGATGGAAACTTGTGCAGGCTGGTCTTGACCAAGGCAGTAAAAGCACCATCTTGTTCAAAAAGGCCTTGCATCAATGAACACATGTTAATGAGAAGAAGCTTCCTTTCAGTTCCATCCTTGTGCATGATTGGTGCATAATCAATTACAGGGCCATAAGCCCTGCACTCAGCAAGCCTGGAGTCTCGAGCTTGTTTCATATGCTTAGGCTGGTGAAGCTCTGGAAGCCCATGGTTGTGAATGTCTTTCACAATATTGGATAAAGCACTGGAGCTAACATATGGGTTGCTCCTTCTCAACTCTTCAAGTCTTCTCAATTTTGAAGGCCTGACATCTTCCATTGCATGGGTGAGACAAGGTCCCAACTGGCCATGTTGAGTCAATCAGCTGCTTGGAAACACAGCCCTTGCATGAAACCACAGCTCATGCACCTCTACTATACAATTCCAGTTGCAATCCACAAAGCACCAGTACATGATTCATGCAGCATGCCATGCACATTGCAAAATACATGACATGACATCTAAGAATCTCAAAGTGTACATGGTAGTAATATATACAAATAGTGAATGTTCTTTTACCTATTAAAGGTATCCATGCACCATGCAGCTCATGTACAAGCATGTCCTGCTCCAACAACATAGTTCTTGATAGCAACCAAACAAAGCTCACATCATAGTTCTTGGTAGCAAGCAATCATATGCATTTTCATAGAGCAAACCAAGCTTCACAGCTTCACTATTCCACATTGGGAACATGCATATCTACACGCATGGGTGTCACAAACACTTCATGCCAAAGGTGCTGTGAAAAGCAATTCATTAACAAAGCCTCAGTGTTAGGAGGTGTGTCATGCAATGGGTTGCCCACTTCCCACAGGCAATGCTCAATCCACTCAATGGGGTGCCTCAGGTAGATGCACATGTCAACAACTATGCCAAGCAAGAGTGAGCAAATATGCTAACATCTTCTGATTCAAAAGTGCTGACCACAAAAAGCATTAAAACTTATATTACAAACAAATCATAAAAAGCTACAAGCGCTTGGTGCCATCTGCATAGATCAACTGTCTGTGAAGACCCCAAGCAGGAGGCACTCTCACCCAAGATTGGTCAGTGACATTGGCAGCAGGTGGTTTGCACACATACCTGTCTCACCAGCATCACAGGACATGCACAAGTGTGACTTTAGTTCACATGGAACACAACCTAGCTCAAGCAATCACATTAAGTTAAAGTGCCAGGCTGTCCATCCCTTGCGCCATGTGAGCTTGAGGAACATTTGGTCAGGAGCATCAGCATGGAAAGACACACACTCCAAATGATCAGGCATGGCTGTACCAAGTACAATTGTTGAATCAGAGGCACATTGGTCTACTGGCAAGCCTAAATGATCAGAGTTGCAAACATGACCAACATGACAACATGACAGACATGAAGCCTATATGGTGCTGTCATTCATGCAGACCATGCAAACATGCCATGCAAACTTGAACACACAAGATCATGCAAATCATGACACAGTTGAAGAAAGTATGGCTTGAGCTTTGAAAGTAAGAGCATGACACATGCATGCACCTGAAGCCACTGTGGCTTGACCATGGTAATACATGAACATGCAGAAACATGACTCATGTCAACCAGCCAGTAGGGCTTGAACCATGGAGATATGAAAGTATATACACCATAAACATGCCAATAGACTGGTACTCATGTCATTCTATATCATGAAGTCATACTATAGGCCATACATGGCAATGTCATGGCCATGTCATGTAGCTCTAAAGACAAACTTGCTTTTCCAAGAGGTTGCTCTTCCCCTGCAACTCCACTCTAAGCCAACCAAGTAAGAGCTACATCATTCACTGCTTAAAAGTTGCCTTCCAGGTCTCTGCTGATTTGGCCCTAGCCTCTCTGGCACAGCCCTTTGCATCGTCATCAGAAAGCCCTTGGTTGCGCGCAAGTTCTCTTGCAGCATGGTAGTGCTTGGAAGTCCATGATTCATAGGATCTGCCTTTCCACTCAGCGCCTGGGAAGCCAGGATCATAGACAAAGTCTTCCTTGGTAGAGGCTTTCCTCTTAGAAGCAGTCTTTGGCTTGGGCTGAGCCTTGGCTTTGGCTTTGGAAGAGGCTTTGGCTTTGGGGTTGGTCTTTGCCTTTGCCTTGCCTTTGCCTTTCCCCTTGCCTTTGCCACTTGACTTTGTGGCCTTCTTGGCAGCCTCCCTGGACACCAAAGCATCAAAAGCAGCCTGTTCAATGACTGATCCATCTCCAGAGTCACCAGGAGCATCCTGCTGGGTCACCTCTCCATTTTCCAGAGGAAGCAAATCACCACCACTGCCAGAAGTGGAAGTTCTCATCTTTGGCTTGAAAGGCTCCACCTCTAGAGCAGGAAGTGCCTGTGGCTTTGTAGATGGTGGAGCAGTGGACTCTTCCTCCTTCTTGGGTGATATGACCAAGTTGGACAAGGTTCCAGAGGACTTGTTCTGTGTCATGTTGGCCATCATCTTCATAAAGCCAGAAGCCATCTCCATGAAGGTTGTCATAGATGCATCTGGTGTAGATCCTGATGATGAAGCAGTGTGAGCCTGCTTGCTGACCCTGGCTGATGCAATGGCAGCATTAGTTTGTCTCAAAGGAATCTGTTTCATGATGACCGCATACTGTTCAGGCATGATGGAAGCTGGTTTTTCATCTTTGTAGCCATGTGCTATCAGTATAGGACTGAGTAGAGTGGGATCATCTGGATACTTCACAACAAAGGGCAACTGTTGGACAGGCTGCTGAGCACTTGCAAACTCCAGCTTCACATCCTGCACCATTTGGAACATAGTTGCTTTATCAGGCAAAGTAGTACAACATGACAAAATTGATGCCACTGCACTCTTCACAGTTTGCTCTGCCAAAGACCTGACTCCAATGCCCCTGAGTCTTGAGCAAATTGTGGTCACCTTTGTGGTATAGGAAGTAGAGTTCCTCAGGATACACCAGTCTGCCATGGTCAGGTATCTGCAAACCACAATACTTTGTGGTTTAACAATCTCCACTGGCTTGCTGTCATTGGCTCCTGACAAGTTGGTGTCGATGACAGTTTCAATCATCTGCTTCATGTCACCACTCAAACTGTGGTTGTCCCTCAATGCCTTTTGAAGTGCACAAGCATCAGCTGGAGTGAGCTTCATCGCCTCGAGCTTGTAGGTGACATTCTTTAGCAGTGTGTGTTCCATGTCATCACAGTTAGCAGACTTGGAAGTCCTCTTGATAGCAATGAGTTGGCTA